ATGTTTGTAATGAATACTGGAAAATGTTTCTAGAAAAACCATCGTGGGCAATTTAAATTTATCTAAAAGCACTTCATATTGTGTTTCCATTCGATTCCATAACTAAACACATTATCGACACAGCTAGTGACATTAATTTCATTGAAACAGGTTTTCTACCACGTTCACTGGTTATAAATAATCTGAACTTTGAAATTATCCGAGTCGACATTGCGCGAAAAACGTGTAGAAAGTTTCAACACAAATCGTTTGTCAGTTCTTACTATAATTGATCGTTTTCTTTGTAGGAGTCGTACATTTCTCATGAACAGGAATTTTCTATGTTTTCTTCATACCTATCTCCGATTTTGCGTAAACCAAACTCCACTCTCAGGGATTTGTTTAATTGTGTACTTTATAGTTTCAGGTATTAATTATTTTTTGTTTGGAAAATTGCCAAATCTTCCAATGTCTTCAGTTCGACATGTCTACTGATCCCAATGCTACGAGAACAGAGATACAGCACCCTTTGGAAATCCAGTGAATTTTAGAAGTACATTCATGTTTCTTAGAAAAATAACTTTTTATTCCTCATACTTTTTTTAATGTTACCTTATATAAACTGACGTGAATTACCTCTGTTTAGGGAAAATGACGAAAGCGAAGAAGAAGACGATTGCTGTGACAGACTAGTGTTTCATCCTCTTGCAATTTGTCTACGTATAATATTGACTATTTTTCATCCTGGTCTTATCTAATGAGAATAAATCATGATTTGAAAAATGTAACAATGTTGCTACTCTCACTGAGAATATAAATCAAGTAGAGCTGACATTTTTCTCTCTAAAATTTTATAATAATCAGTAGAGCGAGTTCCAGGAGATTGCTTCATGCACAATTTGTTTGATCCCAATTAACCCATGCCGCTACGCAAACGCATGCCTGTCATCACATTTCGTCAACGCACAAAGTATAGACGAAAAGTGATGACGCAGCTGTGAAAAGGATACACATCGATCGCCGCTTCGTTTCCCTTTCAACGCGTTCTATCTCTTCCACTTTCATTTTC